TCTATGACCGGCTAATAATACCGAATGCCTGTGTGATGACCGCAACAAGAGACATGATTCGAAATAATTTTGGAAAATCGAAATTTTATAAAATATGATTGATTTTAAATAACATACTGAAGAATACTTTATTTCCGTTTGACATTTATTTTCGCTGAAGGGATGCTTCAGTGAAAATAAAATCCAACGAATACACGTTTTTTCCCATATTTCACATTCAACTCATGAAACAACAGTGGGAATAAATTCCATACAAAACACCAAAAAAGGCTTTTCAGCGTGAGTACTGTGAGACAGCGGCGTTGACAAGGAACTAAAAAAACAATTAAAAAACTGCTTCTCCAAAATGATACAGAAAACAAATACAAACACATCAATTAGGAGCATGAGCTGGGTTTTTCACATTTTCCCGCTAATTTGTTTCCCGTGTGTGTCAGTGGGTTTCATAAAGTTCATTTTGACCACAGTCCACTAACAAGTATGTAAAAATTGACTAAAACCATAGACCTATAAAGGTCTATGCTAAAACGCAGCTACTGTGAACGTGTATTGAAACGTTGTCCCAATAGTGTGATGATCGTGAAATGGTAACTCCTTCACACATCGTGAGCTTTTATATTTTATTCAAAAAATAAAACTGAAGCAATTCATTGTTTCACACGTCGGAGCCAAGATTCAAAGTGTCAATTTTGTGCTCACAACTAACTCATGAATATTCATCACTCGTCTTCCATATATGGAAGGTGGTGTCTCTTTGGGTCGTTTTATATTTGCATAAAGAACTAGCTCATGTCGAAGGTCACACTTAGCAAATCCGTGCGAACGGTCCGCCTCCAGATTTAGTTTAACAAGACAGAGAGTGGGTTCAGTTTCTTCGCAGATCTTTCCGTTGCTAGATGGTAAACCACTTCGAGTTTTATTCGCCGTGGATCTACTCAACACAGTTCGAAACTATGAGTACAGTTGTGAAATGACATAACCGAAAGTTTTGAAACTTGTTGTTTTTAGTTTGAACCGTGACGTATTTTGTTTTTGTTGCCCAAAACATCGTCCATGCGTGAAGCGATGGAGCATTCCCTGAAGCCGTACAAAACTTTACTTCGTAAATTTGAAGGTATGTCCCCGATTTTTAGCAGAAAACAGAAAAATCGGCAGCCATTGAAGACGAAGTCGACGAACACGAGAGGGGTAGGTATCCATGTTTAATACGTTGCTTGACTTGTCGCTATCGGGCGTTGATAATGGCAAAACAAGGGCCTGTCTACATATATGTAGTACCCATGTTGTGTTTATAATCGGAGTCAGGGGTGCGGCTCTGATGCGTGGTCATCTTCATTTTTGTGTGGGTCATTCATATACCCTGTGGTTCAATACCGACGGTATTCCAGTCGCTTGCTATTATCGCGTATATATATGTAGTCTACCCACAGCAACGTTACTGGTCTCCGTGCGGTTGCTTGGTTTCCCCATCCCGCCTAGCCCGGATCCGAAGTGTCACTCGGGTCTCTCTCTCTAGATCTCGACACTTAAATACTTCCTGACAAATTCCAAAATCAGCGATTTTGCAAACCATCGTGTAATGCCATACTTTATTTTTTTCAGATCCGCAAAAAATAGATCTGGTTTTAGCTCGATTCTGTTTTATTGAATTTACATGGCCATGACAAACATTTGCATGACAAACGCAGTCCACCTCGGTGTCTTCAAAACTGTGAATGGCCATACAGCGGTTTCAATGGGTCGTAATCACTGACAATCACCGATAATCATCGGTGAAGGAAGTCTGCATGGCTTCATCTCACCTACGACCGGTGCTAATGTGTGAGTGAACATGTGTAAACAGTTTTGAAATGTTCATGTTATAGAAACCATGGAGGTAAAAAGAGACCTATGTGCGTATACGATTATTAAGTGAACATTTGAAATCATAGGGGGTTGTCAGATGATTTGTTGATAATCAAATAATCAAGCTTGACACCAAAATGCAAAATGCTATTACGTTCAAGAAAAATAATTTACAGTTAAAACAACACAACAAATTGCAATGGTCACGCATTTCCAATGACCCACCTCCCCATTATTTTAAATGGTTGACCCCTTTTTATTATAAAAACAAAATTGGCAAATTTACTTTGCAATTTTTAATTGTGCCTTGTTTATTGCAAAATGTAGGAGAGAGTTGTTGACAAAGTGTTGATATGATGGTTCCTGTGAGGCAATTCCGGGACTCTGCATGGCCAAGTGGTGTTTACAAAGGATAGGGTTTCACTGTGTTGACATGGTATACCTTGTAATAGTGTCAGATTGTGAGAATTACAAGGATGTACAAGCCTCCTCAGCTGGGGCTGGTGCTAGTCACATGTTAACACATTAAGGGGTCGGCCTTTCAAAATCTAGGGGTAGTGGAATTTTTTTTTAAAAACATCAGCACGCTTGACACTGAGTGAGAGAACAAAATTGCATGTAAGGTGTTGCAGGAATAACATGTTGGTACATAAGAAAAAGAAAAATGTACAGATGAGTTGCACTGGTCACATTCTTACAGCCACCCTCCATGATTTGAAATAGTTAACCCAGAAACTTATTATTAAAAGAAAACAAAAACACTTCTCCAGCAGCTGTCATGACAAAAAAAAACAAAATTTACTGACTGAAACATTGTAATCAATATCTATTTTTGTTTTACAGTGAATTTCACAGAGGCATAAATGTTTATTTTATGTAAATTTATAAAATATTTAACCTGGAATACTTTTGCGTTTCATTCAAATCCAGAAACTTTGTGTCTGAATTTTAAATATGGAAGGGTTTTCAAGCTGGTTGATGTTTTTCAAATGAAGTTCTTATAAAAGTTCCATTTTGCTTAGTTCTGGGCATTGTTCTCTAAGTTGGTTGGGTCAGGAAGATGTATAAAAAATAAAGGTTATTATGAGAATATCGCAAAGTACGGAATATGATTTTATCAGATATTGTTGTGTTTGGAGACTCTTCAGTAACCTGGTTTTATCGGACATTGCAGTGTTCGTAGATTGTTATTAGTAACCTGGTTTTATCAGATATTGCAGTGTTCGTAGATTTTTATTAGTAACCTGGTTTTATCAGATATTGCAGTGTTTGTAGATTTTTATTAGTAACCTGGTTTTATCAGATATTGTCTCCTTGTTGAAACAGTACTATGTGTCATTTACCAAATTACTTCCTTCTTCCGTCTTCCTCTTCTTCCTTTCTATTTCCCACTATATTTCTGGTGATATGATCCGTGTAATGTATTCGATATGTGCTTTAAAACAGCTGTCATTTGGCTCAAATTACATATGAATATTTTTGACACACACACTCTATACAACTCATCGACCCATATAGAACATGACTTAAAGGGCAACCTTCCAAGCCTAGGGATTGCACCAATGAATCATGGGACACTATTGTTTACGTTGTTTACAAAGTTAATCTATCTTTTGTTATCCATTGTAATTTTAATCCAGAAAGTAAATTTATTGTGAGATTCGGCTTAACTGGAAGTGCCCCTTTTGAGAGAAAATAGTAATACATGTAAATAGATACAAAACTGTTAATTATTATTATGATTTCTGCCTATTTATTTCACAATATTATTACAAATAAGTGTTATTATTTATCTTAATAATATAATATACAGAGATGTTTATGTTTAATTCTTCTACAATTGAAATAAAAAAAGGTAAAATAAAGAGCTGACTGTTGAAATAAATCAGAGTACAGTCTACTCTGCCTTCCACACATGCAGTATTAACCTTTTCACCACAGTTCATTTGTTTCGTCACAAAATAGTCCTGTTTAGAGTCTGCACTTTTCTTCAGAAGATTGGGACAAAAATAGCCATTTTTTTTGAGTAAAAAATGAAAATTGACTTAAATTTTGTACATTAGCTCTAAAATTAGGAATTATTTCAAGAAATTATTGAAGAATTATAAGAAAAAAGTGCAGAATAATTTGGGCGTGAAAGTCTGGTGGTGAAAAGGTTAAGTTTGGGAAACTGGTTTAGTCAAGAAAGACAGCGGGTGACTTCAATGTCTGAATATTTTGCTCGGCACAAAAATACTTTTAAATTATGTTGTTGCTGAAATTATTTACATACTGTAGAATTCTTTATTTTCACTTGGAATTTATTTTCGCTATTTTCGCTGAAAGGATGATTCTGTGAAAATAAAATCCAGCGAATATAATACTTTTTTTTCCTATTTTTCACATTAAACTCATCAGAAATCAGTGAAAATAAATTCCATACAAAACGCCCAAAAAGCCTTTTCAGCGAAAATTAATTCCAGCGAAAATAAAGTATTCCACGGTATTTGTTGCATGCTTATATCGTTTTTCTCTTGTGTATTATATAGGGCTTAGTTGAAAGCTAGGTTTTATCTATGTTAATTTTTTTGATGAATTTGTGATTTTTGATGAATCAAAACCCTATGAATATGCTAAGTTTATAATTACCATAAAATACAACACTTCCTTCTTAAACCAGTTAACTTAAAATCTAAATAGGGATATTCAACAGCACCAAATTTAATAAAATTAAACTCATGTAAATACTTCTCCTTCTATTGTAACAATAATATTTCATTCATGTGCTACAAGCTATTATGGAAAATGTATCGGTAATATAACAAGTTCCATGTAATGTGTCAATTATATGTGACATATTAACCATAACTTGTTTTACTTTTGGGGTGTGGCAGCAAACATTAAAATCTTTTTGTATACACTGATATTCCAAAGGTGCTGTGTTTATTGTATCATTGTTTCCATGGTAACCAGGGTGTAGTCAGCAATATTTAGCCAGTTTGCCACAGTGAAAGTAATCTTGCAAAATAATCCACAATCTATAATCTAAAATTTATTATATCTAAACTATATAATCTATTAATATATACACATGCATATTAACAATTCTTTGGTAATTTGCATGGACAATTATTCTCTGTAAGCTTAGATGTCTTTTAATTAATTATAACAATTTGTCAATAATATCAGTAACATACAACATTCTACATACACGACAGCATTGATTAGGGACTGTCAGCTCTAGTCAGCTAAAATGAACATTCAGCTTGCGTTGAGGTTGGCTTTAATGAACCTTTGAAGTTCAACTCTGATAGGACTGAGCCAGGACATGTCCCCAACTGTGTGACAGAAAACTACATGTTCATGGACTCTATTCCAGTTCGGCTCTAAATAAAACGAACCGTATTTGAATTTCAAACCACATTTGACCACATGAGTATCCATTTTACAAGAGATAATTTCCTGTTAATTGGTGGGAGGATAGTTCAGCTCTGATAAAATACTGACATATAAACCTAATTGCCAGTGTTATTTGTGTACTATATTTTTAATAATATATTATGTTTTTTACATTAATTTTTTTTATTAATCTCTGGCCCTTTAGAGAAGTAGCCCTTTAAAATCTGTCGACTTTTGTCGAACATAATCCACATACTGTGAAATACTTATATTTTTTCCTTGGAATTAATTTTCGCTGAAAAAGTGTTTCAGTGAATATAAAATCTAGCGAATATACCTATTTTTCTATATTTTACATTCAACTCATCAAAGATCAGTGAAAATAAATTCCACACAAAATACCCAAAAAATTTTTCCAGCAAAAATTAATTCTAGTGAAAATAAATTATTTCACAATAATTATTCCAACAATTGTAAGTATAAAAAATGTTGTTATAGGAAAAAATGCATCAATGTGTACAAAATATTACACCATAATTTTGGCAAGAACAAAAAGCGTTCAAAGAATTTTCGGGCCAGCAGTTTATTAAATAAATGGAATACGCAATTCATCATTTTTAATTTTTTAACAATGATGTAATTAATATTTTCATAGAATGATAAAATAGAGGGAAATTAATTTGTGGCAGTGATTCATAAACTGCTGTGGTTTGGGATCATATGTCATCACTTTCCCAATGGTTGGTTGCTTTGAGTAGGCCAGTCACTAGTATCAGATTTCTGACATATGGGGTCTTAATGAAATAACATGTGTACATTCCCATGGTTGTAAATAGTAGGCGTTTCTATGAAAGTTGTCTTCTCTGCATAGGGATGGACTATTATTATTTCTGGGAGTGATTTTTCATACTCACTAAAGGTTGGATCATTTGAAATTATGGGGAGTACAAAGAAAGTTGAATATTGGGTAAAAAAATGTTCACTTTCAATGACGTTTGCTCAAACTAACTTTAAAGCAAATCGTTAAAGTTTTGGTGACCCCTCCCAATTTTATTTGGTTCACCCTTAACCCTTATCTGGTCAAGTCAATGTTAAAGTACACAAAATAAGGGTTAAAGATATAATGATGACATTGTTGGAGTGTTCACTACTCACATGTGATGATCTATATATGCTGACAGAATAATCAATCACTGCATCAGATTTAAATCAGATTGGAACTATTGTTTATATGAAATATGGTTACTATGCACAGGCTAACATGCCCCCCCTCTCAGCCTAATGGTTGTCCCTCAGCATAACTTCCATTTTTGCAATACCACCCTAAACGTAAATTCCATCTATCACTCTCATCCAACTATCTGAGTCAAATGAATTAATGATGTCATTTGGGTAGTTATTTGTTTGAATTATACTGTAAAATACTTAATTTTTGCTGGAATTAATTTTCGCTGAAAAGACTTTTTGATACCCCAGACACTGGAGG